TCTTGTGCAGGGCTTCTTATCTTATCTAATCATTATATCCTATCTCGTTCATTTGCACTTTTGTGGCTGACGATGGTGGTTCGGTAAAACCATCGAAACTAGTCCTGTGAAAATTTGAAAATATAATGCTGATTTTTGTTGTTTGACTTCTGAATTAATATAATTGCCTTTCAGAAGCAAATGATGTAATTTAGAATATGCTATCTTGTTATATAATATAAAGACTATATTAAACCGTTTTTTCATATCCAGTGTTCTCTTCAGTTCTATTTTAAAATGGTATAAAGTAATATTTAATACTATGAATGATGTATTGTTACTGTAAATTTCTTTTTCAAAATGATTATGCAGTCAAAAGTCGTTAATCCTGACTCGTCGGGACTTCGGCGATTCTGGATTATAGATCATCAGTTTAAATCTGGTAAGATGGCATGCAGAATTATAAATTAAAAAGTGAACCATAATTTATGAAATAAAGAACAATATGATCTAAAGGGTATCAAATTTACAAAAAAAAAGCTTAATATATATTTGTTTTACTTATAAACATTCTTTCAATGTAAGTTTTTTAAGTTGCTTCATTTTTTTATGTGATAATATATTCTCTTTAATTCTATAAACAAACATAATTTCTTGTTCAGTTGCGAAGTTCCGCTGTTCAAGTCCTGTAATTGCTGTGTCAAGAATACCGACTAATTTGTCAATCGAAATTTTTACGTTTTCAATAACCTAGCGAATTATAATGACGAGGAATTTGATTTAAATCATATCAAACACAGTACATCGAGATGAAATACTACATTTAGTAAGGAATTATAAGCCAAATAAAATAAAAACATCTGCCCTGAAGATAAGGATAGTGCTGACAGATCAAATTCCAGTTCATAGTGCGCCGCAACGTTTACCCCCCCCCCCCCCCCCCGCAGAGCAGCGTGAAATTGATAAAAACATTTCGGAATGATTAGAGAGTCAAAGGATATTTGCAGCAATTCCACTTTTTGTTTGATGGACATCGGAACATGCTTTCGCTTTGTAGATCCTTTAGACAGCTCCAGAATCAGAAACTTCTTTTTGACATAATCGAAAGTTCAAGCTTACTTTTTACAAAACTGCTCTAACCGTCTGCAAAAAATAATAAGCCGCCGGATCCAATTAGATGAGCAAGCAACAGCACAATCTGCAACATTAACCGAAACGCCTTCGATAATTCTAACGTAGCTTATACCGTGCGTAATACATTAAACGCGCATGCGTAAACGCTTTCGGCATATTCGCATGCGCAGAAAGTTTGTAGCTTTGTGGTCCGGATTATAGATCATTCTGGATTATGGGTGTCCGAATTAACGACTTTTGACTGTAATGTGTTTTCTAGGATTTTTCATATATACAGTACAAAGTCCATAATCGGGACTCGTCGGGACTTTGGTGATTCCGGATTATAGATCATCAATTTAAATCTGGTAAGATGGCATGCAGGAGTTATACAATTAAAAATATGAAACCGTAATTTATGAAATAAAGAGCAATTATGATTTAGAGGGTATCAAAATTTACAAAAAAAAAGCTTAATATTTATTTGTTTACTTTATTAAACATTTCTATTAATGTAAGTTGTTTAAGTTGCTTCGTTTTTTGTGCTAATACTTTCTCTTTAATTCTATAAACAGGCATAATTTCCTGTTCAGTTACAAAGTTTCACTGTTCTCGAACATAAGCCGAAAGCTATATAAACCTTACTGGTCCGCAGTCAGGGAGTGTCTCGAGAGTGCAAGATAGTTAGTCTCAAGTTAGTCAGTCTGTGCAGAGTTGATCGAGTTGACAGCTGAGCAGCTAATGCCTAGTGGGTCGTCGAGTGCATCGAAGTTTCTCTTAGTGTTTTGCAGTTAGTGCATCGCTGAGAGAATGTGTTAAGCTCCGGGAACGACTGAACTGAAGAGTTGGGAGCTGTGCTCTGTGTGTCATCGAGTGCATTGCGAGTTGTAGTGTGGAGAGTCTCGAGAGTACGTGGAGTTCCGAAAACAACCAAGCAGAGTCGCGAGCTGTACTCTGGTGCTTTGCAGTGAAGTCTCCACTGTTATTGCCTTACAGTGGGAAGGCCTTGTTGCTGATTGTTCCAAATCTTCGATGACCATAAAACGTGACTTTGGAGCTGTCCTGATTAATACCAGCCAATAAAGTATGTTTCGATATTTCATCAAGTGTCATCGTTATTTACTCGAAATCTGCACAAACCCGTGAAGAAAATTAAACGTAACAACTGGTGTCAGAAAAAAACGCAACAACTGATGTCAGAAGTAGGATTTGCGAGTGAATGCCAGTGACCCGCCTGCAGAGAAAAATCATGGCGCAGAGGAAATGAAGACTTTGATGGACTTTTTAGCTAAGATAAAAGCTGGATATGATAAGAAAAAAGCTGGACTGGAAGAGCTAAATGCTGGATATGCAGAGATGAGGACTGAGATCAAAGCTGGACTGGAAGAGAAGAAGGTCCGATGAGAAAAAAATGTGGGCCATGAAAAGGTGCAAGATCAACTCCAGCAGGTGAAAGTGGAGCCGTAAAAGATGATGTGGAAATGAGAGAAATGGCTTCTGAAGAGTCAAAGGAGGAAGAAATGAAGGAAGTGGTTAACGAACTGTCTGAGACAAGAAATGATGGATGAAACATCTAACGGGATTAAAGAAAAAGAACGAAAATGTGAAAAAATAGGGAAAGAAGCTTTTGATTCTCAAGTGCCTGAAGTGGAAATGGAAGAAAGTGAAAATGCGACTATTAAGTTCAACAAAACTGATAGTGAAATTACGAAGTCGCAGTTAGCAAGAATTGAATCATCTGAAAGTGCATGGGATGCAGAGCTGGAAGAAGCTGATGTACAGCTTAGGCAGTGTGCTCCAGTACTGCAAGAAGATTCACCCACTTTGCAAACTATGTGTGCATCTCATAGTGCAGATTTTGTACACAAGGACTTGAATCTAAACTTGGATATTTCTGCTCGTAAAGAATAGGATTCTATTTGTGACCCTGGTGCAAACATGGGATCTGGTTCCCAGGAAACTGAGGTGAATGAGCATGTACCATCTGCTAAAAATACCAAAGTGAACTGTAAGCATGCTGCGAATGAACTACAGAGTAGTGAACAAACTGTCTCGGATCTTCCTGTGTTATGACAAGTCTGAAAGGACTGAATCTTCAGACTATGATATGCAAAACAGAAATACATTTGAGAACTGCAGTGGAGAAGTATTTGACCCGGGTATATTTTAAGGAAAAGACGGAAATTCTTTCTGAACTTTAATTTGTATAATTTAAAATTGTTATGTTTAATTTGTGTATCTAGATTGTATATAGTGTAAATATTTGCTTCTTTAGTTATGTTATTTGTTTGTTTTATAACATTTTGTTTGTATCGAATTAGGCTTCTGACCAAGGGTTGTGTGGGGGGAAGGTAGCCCCACACACACTCATTTCTTCGGCACTTCAAGTTCTCCTCTTCGCGCATGCGCGATAAGAATATCATCTCTGCGCGACTGCAAAAGAGAACTTTCGCCTTCTGTTTGTACAAGTGCTTGTACGCGTTTTACTCATAGCTGAGATTCCTGTTATTTATTGCCATGTACGTATTTTGATTAATTAAAGAATTTATTTTTCTAAATTGGGTGTCTAGCCATTAATCAGATCCCAAAGTTGTACTGCCCGAGACGTGCAGTCCTTGGAAGGGGGCAGTGTTACGAAATGTACAGGCGCGTTAAGATAGCTTCTCCGCAAAGCAGTTTTATGGTTGCCATAAAATAACAAGGAAGACAGGGTTGCTTAATTTCGCAATAAATAGCCCATTTGGCGACAAAATTGGCAATAAGCCATGGACGGATGGAGAACCTTCTGGAATGAATTCTAACTGGTTTAGCCCAGAATATTCTAGAACACAAGCCGAAAGCTATATAAACCCTGCTGGTCCACAATCAGGGAGTGTCTCGAGAGTGCGAGATAGTTAGTCTCAAGTTAGTCAGTCCGTGCTGAGTCGATCAAGTTGACAGCCGGGCAGCAAATGCTGAGTGGGTCGTCGAGTGCATCGAAGAGTCTCTTAGTGTATCGCGGTTAGTGCATCATCGAGAGAGTGTGTTAAGCTCCAGGAACGACTGAACCAAAGAGTCGGGAGCTGTGCTCTGTGTGTCGTCGAGTGCATCGCGAGTTGTAGTGGGGAGTGTCTCGAGAGTACATGGAGTTGCGAGAAAGACCAAGCAGAGTCGGGAGCTGTACTCTGGTGTTTTGCAGTGAAGTCTCCCACCATTATTGCCTGACAGTGGGAAGGCTGTGTTGCTGATTATTCCAGTGTGCTTATAGTAGATCTTCGACGTTTGTAAAACATGACTTTGAAGCTGTCCTGATTAATACCGGCCAATAAAGTGTGTTTCAATATTTCATCGAGTATCATCGTTATTCGCTCCAAATCTGCACAAACCTGTGAAGAAAATTAAACATAACAACTGGTGTCAGAAAAAAATGCAACAATATTATAATGATAAATTTTGGTAATATCCTTAACTATTTCATTATATTTTGTGGTAAATGCATAAAAATTTTAACTACTTTTATTTAATTCTATTACTAGTTTATTATACTTCATCAAGGAAATTTTTCTGTTTTTTATGGAAAAGCAAGAAAATTATGTCTGGTTTCTGTGAAAACCCTCATTTATTAGTGTAGTGATCTTTTGTATCATAAAGAAAAGCATTATTTGGAAGCCAGAATCAACCAGAATTTTTTATGAAGAATTAAGTTCTTTTCCATAATAAATTGTACTCTGAATTTTTGTAATTTTATCTTTCAAAAATCTGAAAATTCATGCTAATTCCTAGTAGTTACCTCTCTGATTCTGTGAGTTTGTTTTACATTTTTGACATAATGATTTTGTAGTTATGTATTGTATAATTTATCTTCAAAATAATGAATGGCTTTTAATAAGTTATATAGTTAAATATTTGCTTTTATTTTTGCATTACAGGAATCATTGTTTGTCGCTAGAGTTATATATGATCTGCTGTTCTTTTTCGTTGTCATTATTATTGTCCTAAATCTAATTTTTGGTGTTATCATCGATACATTTGCTGACTTAAGAAGTGAAAAGCAACAGAAAGAGGAAATTTTGAAAAACACTTGTTTCATCTGTGGTATGTACAATACTTTTTTTTACAATGTTATAATTCATTATACTGTATTTAATAACCTAGATTTTATATGTATGTATGTGTGTGTGTGTGTCTGTGACATTATAGAGGTTTGAAGCCATGGTACATTGATAGAATTTAGCAGAGCTGAGTAGAGATGATGAAACCAATCACTTTTTAATTATGGCTGAGAAGACTGCTGCATAGAATGAGTAAAAGGTAAAATCACAGCTGGTTTGTACAAGCCAGTTGTGTTTAAAAGCTGTGTGATTAAAGCCAGCTGTCATTAGTTAAAACATCCTTTCTCATTTTGAACAGGAACAATTCTTCAGAATTCAAAATATCTGGTTGTAACAAAAGTTCTTCACCAAAAAACGTTCATAATCAAGTTAGAAAAAAATAAAAAAAAGAGTACCTTTTAGTGCAGGTAGTAATCACCACTCAAATCTATAATTTTCTGCCAGCATTTTAATAGTTCTGCAAAGCCTTCGAACCAGAAACTTGGTGGCCACGAGTCCAAAAATAGATCAGCCTTACTTCAGACGTCCTGTGCAAAATGGAAGATAGCACCAGCAAGATGTAGCTGCAGGTGTGAAGAAAGGTAGAAGTCCGAAGGAGCAATGTTGGGACTATATGATGGGTGTTGCAAAAAATCCCATTTGAGTCTATAAAGAGTCTATTCCATGAGTGTTGACACATGTGGTCTTGCATTGCCTTGATGGAACATTACCTTTTTCCTTCAGAGCTCAGTTCGATGTTTTTCCTTGATAGCAGCATCAATACAGACTAGCATCTCGCTGTACACCTTACTGCCGAGGGTTTTACTACCAGATACAAAGCATGATCTTTTTGTTAGTCAAATTGCTCTTTGTGATGCTGCCGATGGGCTCAGCGGCTGCAGACCACCCCCTTTTTGGCCAGTATTGTTGAAGTAAATCCAATTTTCATCACGACTCATGATGTGGTTCAGAATTTTGTCTTTGCATTGATATTCAAGCAGATTAGTGCAGGCTCGAACACATCTGTCCATATCTGCTTGAGTCAGCTCATGCGGCACCCAGCGATTAAACAATTACACTACGCCCCCCCCAAAAAAAAATGGGACAATTCTATATCTCCCAACCTATTGGGCCGATTGACAAAATTCAAATTGTGATTTTCATGTCTCAAAAGCGCAACTTGGGTCATATATTAGATTTATATATAGCATTGTTCTAACACACAAAATCATACTTTTTCTGAAATAACATACCATTATTTTTTTCCATATTTTCATTCTACGACTCAAATTATGCCTAGGTACTAAATTTTGTAAAATTTGGTGCAAAATTTATGGAGAAATTCAAAAACTTATCTTGGTGGAATTTTTTCAGTTTGAGCCAAGTATAATTCACTTGGCGATTTTCTTAATATGTGGCAACCAATTTTCCTTTCCTTTCCGTCATGCCAGAGCAGAAAAATAGGCACCTCGTTCCTACCTTTTTACATTGTGCATGAACAGGAAAAGACACTTCGTTTCTACTTCCAAATAATTTTAGCAAAATGTCTAAACCACGTTCGATGTTTTTATCACTTTCAACAAATATACAAATTTCAAAATGGGTAAACTTGGTACTTTGGCGTAAATTTGAGTCGTAGAATTGAAATATGGAAAACAATTGGTATGTTATTTTACAAAAAGTTCGATTTTTTGTGTCAAAATCGAATATTAGAATGATGCTATATATAAATCTAATACATATCCTAAGTCGCACTTTCGAGACATGAAAAACACAAGTTGAATTTCTTCAATCGGCCCAGTAGAGTGGCAGATATAGAACTGTCCCTCTTTTTTTTTTTTTTTTTTTTTTTTTTTTTTTCAGTGTACATCAAGCTTATGCAATGTATAGTGTGACTAATAAACATGGCACTTTCTCAAAACCATTGGTTATATAGTACATATACTTCTACGACAGTACTTTGACATTTTTAAATTTTAAAAAAAATTAAATTTGTAAAAATTACAATATAAAAGTTTCTTTACATACTCACAGTCTCTATATTCACATTTATGAAAATGTTATAGCAGGGTAATTATATTTTTAAAATGTTACTTAATAGTTGTTTATGTACGCACTAATGTACACTATTCGAATCACGAATGTTGCTGCCTACACATCTAACTATGAATCTAATGACGTATCTAAATGCCACATCTAAATTTCTGCAAGCGATGGTTCAGCTATAATTCTATGATCAATTACTCAATCTAGTTTTAAAAGGATTTATTAAAATACTAAAATTAATCTAATCTAGAATCGAATCTAATGTTACATCTCATGAGCAGCGTTCTAGCTGCATCATAATGAATCGAAAGTCAAGTTGTCACTGTTGCCATTCTGAGGCAGAGAAAAGTTTGTTTCTAATCAAACCGGAACATCGGCATAGTGAAAGTTTCTAGTCAAAACCGGAACATTCCGGCCCCCGTTGGACGATTGTCCAACATCATTTGGAAATGGGAGTGGACTGATATTGGAGACGTCGGCGAAAGATTCCATCTGAAGTTCTGACGTCTATGACTCGTACTAGTCCATCTGGACCAGGAAAGGTTTCCTCGATGCGAGCTAGTTGTCCACCTTCATGGGTGTCTTGTTTTTATCCTTTAACAAGACTAGTTCTTGAGATAAGTTTGAGATTGGACCTCACTTGATTCCATTTTGAGCGGTTCTGCAAATGAGTAAGATATTCCACGCTCCAATGGTTCCAGAAATTAGCTCTAAGTTTTTGAATTAAGGTCCATCTAGAAGACAAGGTCAAAGAATCTACAGAATCATTCGGTTCAGGTATCGACAAAAGTGGAGCTCCTATTAGGAAATGACCTTGAGTCAAAGGCTGAAGATCTGTTGGATCAGCCGAAATAGGTGATAGAGGTAGAGTGTTCAAGCAGGCTTCTATTTGTGTAATTAATGTATACAGCTCTTCAAAGTTTAAAATTGTCGTTTTTGCGACCTTTGTCAAAATTCTCTTCATTGATTTTATATTAGCCTCCCATAATCCGCCAAAATGCGGGGAAGAAGGAGGAATAAATCTCCATGTTATACCTTCTTCGGAACTAAAGCGCTGAATAGGATCCAATCTACAAATTCTAAAGAGTTTATCAAGAACATTCTTCGTTCCCTTGAAGATCGTAGCATTATCACTCCAAACAATGGTTGGTTTAGATCGTCTGGCAATAAACCTTCTAAGGCATGCTACAAATGCTTCAGTAGACAAATCCAATACTACTTCTAGATGAATAGCCTTTGTACTAAAGCAAATAAATATTGCGATGTATGATTTAAACGTAACTCTAGATCTTTTCAAATTAGGCTTGTTTAAAACTGCACTTGCAAAGTCCAACCCTATTTTTTCGAATGGTCTAGTTATTACAACTCTATCTCTAAGTAAGTCTCCCATCATTTGGTTTATAGTTTGGTTCCTTGTTCGAAAGCACGTCATACATTTACTTATAACGCGCCTAACTCTATCTTGTCCGGAAGGTATCCAGTATAATTGTCTAATAAGAGAAAGTGTTGTTTGAACGCCCTAATGAAGAGATTTTTTGTGATAATAATCTATGAATAATTCAATGAAATGATGTCTTTTGAGTAAAAGAAGTTGATGTTTCTGGTCTTCTGAAAGATTGGGGTAATGTAGTCTCCCACCAACTCGTAAAGTTCATCTTCATCCAGAAATACATTTAAGGATAAAACCTTACTGTTACTTGGAACTGATTGTTTTGATTGCAGGCACTTAATTTCAGGTTGAAATTCAGAATGTTGTACACATTTGACTAGCACCTTTGTTGCATTCTGTAGTTCAGAAGCACTCAAAAAACTTTCTTTTCTTAATGGTGGATTGGTTCTACAGTTGTTTACAAACCTTAAACACCACGCAGTAATTCTAATCAATTTGCTGAATGACAAATACCTTTTAATGAATTCGTTCTCAATGGAATTTTCACCTGTGACTGTTGAGTTCACTACAGCTCCCCTTCAAAGTTTAAGCTCTTCATGATCCTTGAAATCTCTTACTGATTCTGCAAGTTTAAGCCACGAATTGATGCTCTGTAATAGCCACTTAGGTCCATGCCACCACATGTCACTATTTCGTAGTTCAGACAACATTATTCCTTTCGGGGAATTTGTCTTTGTTCCTCTGGTCAGCCTATCAGCCGGATTTTCATCTCCAAGGCAATAATTCCAGAACTCGGGTGATGTTTTCTCTCGTATTTCCATTACTCGATGCTGGATGAATGGCTTCCATTTATTTAGATTGCCCTTTATCCAATGTAACGTAACAGAAGAGTCAAAATATACATTCATCTGGAGTCTTTTCTCTAACTTTTCTTTCACCTTTGAGGCTAATCTTGCTCCGATGAGCGCCTCCCATCAGCTCTAATCTTGGAAGGGACAGCTTCTTCAGTGGAGCTACTCTGGTTTTGGAAATGACAAAAACTACTTCCTATTTCACTGTCCATCGTGACGTATCGCAGGTATATCACAGCTCCATATGCCTTCTGACTTGCGTCGACTTGCATCGGTAAAGCAATGCATTTGAATATCTCTCAATTCAGACTTGTTAGTCTTTCGGAAGTAATGTCGCGGAATGTTTACATCCTGAATCGCTGATAGTTCATTAATCCATTTTTTCATTCTGTTTTTCAAAGTCCAATGGTAACGGATCATCCCAATCTACTCCAAGTTGCCAAATTTCCTGCATTAGTATTTTTGCCCTAATAGTGAATGGACTTATAAATCCAATGGGATCGTAAAGCTTTCCAATGGTTTTAAGAACTTCTCTTTTTGTCATTAGCTTTGTTTTCCCTTGAACTTGATTAGTTAGATTTTGTGATTCTATCTTCAGAAGGTCTTCCTTGTAATTCCATTTATATCCCAATACCTTCTGTTCCAGAACTTTCTGGATTTCACCATTTTCGTATTCGTCAAAAACTTCCTGCAGATTCCCACAATTTGTTTTCCATT